CCTATGAAGAGCCCCCTACATTAATATTAAACGGTATAATTCAGTGCTGTAAAGTTGAACAGCATAGCAATGACAATTAAGCTGAAGTGCCACAATTATGTCTCAGATTTTTGTCATTTGGAGGCTGTAAACACACGTGTTTTAGTGAGTCAGCAAGGTCTACAGCAGAGGCTGTGGTGCTGTTCCGCCTCTTCAGCTTCAGTCAGTCACGCACTGCCCAAGCTGAGCGCAGGACAGGAGGGTGGACGAGAGGTCTGCAGAGAGAGGGCCGCGGATAGGGTAATGACGCTTTCATGTAAAATTCATGCGCTGCTCCGCATTATGATGTGACCTTCGGAGCATTCCAGTTACGTCAAATTTTAATTCGCACGTCGCAGTTCAGAGGTCAGAACCGAAGTGATTGCCATTAGCATAGCTATCGTCCTGCTTATTTTATGACGGCCGCTGCTGAGGGAGAGGTTGATTGAAACTAGGGAACCTGACACACAGTTCTTTCTGTGCTTGGGCTGCCTGAGATGACCACAAATCCCCTGAGCATAGATGAGAGACCAGAGACTCACCAAGAGCTGACTTTAAGGCGCAAACTCAAATGAGAAAGAGTTTTTTTGGCCCCAGCTATGGATCAAAAGGTCTTATATTTGAAAAGAAAACTGAAATGAGCAGTGGGGCTTCCTCCACTAGGACAACAAAAGCCTTTTTTAAATCTTTGAATCTCAAAACAATCTGCCAGCGGAGAAGAATAATGAGATTTTATCGGCCAAGCTGACATGTCAAGCTGTGCAGGTTTCAGCGGATGGGCATTATTGGATGCAAAGGGCAAGCTGCTCCATTTCTGAGCGCACACGGCTCCCACAAACAGCCACATCATAGCGCAATTAGACGTGTAGTCAATGTGAGAGTGATACCTTGAATCAATTCAGAGTAGAGGTGGCATGTGTCTGGGTGTCTAGGTATTCAACTGAGCACAGCAGCGGGTTGAGGCTGCATAAATCAGTGCGTGGTCAACACTGACATGTCAATGCTAACATTTGGACAGCATTTGGAGCAAATAGGAGCATCCATACTAAATCATGCCAATTACTAAAGGTGTAAATTTCTGACCTCACAACCATTCTTTAAAGTTTCTTCAGGAAATGATTAAATGCATCATAAAATCTTGAAGTTCACCACATTTGAATCGGATTATTTTGGTACGATTCAGATTTTTTACAGCCCTATTGAACCTAAGTCTATGTTTTCTTTCTAAGTAGGCTAATCTTGCTCTTGTGTGCAAAGTATGTCCTGTGGATAACTTTCTAATGCCCATTAAATGGCCAGTATATTTTGTCAAAATGCTGCTGTTTAGAGTGTAAACTGGGAGTCCTAGTCTTGGGTCACGTGCGTAAGCAGGACCTTTGCTAATCACAAATCACAAGACTTAAAAAAGGCTTATAAAAGGGTTGAAAAGGCTTTAAAATGGCTTTAAAAATATATTCCTTTAGGTTCTCTTCTCTCTGTTCAAATTGGAGAAACTTGGCGAGCAGCATGTCCATGTGAATCATGGACACAGTGGGGAACGTCTACAACACCACCTGCATATGTCAATTCCCTCTCATTCATTTCTTCCTATTTGTGCTTTTGTGTTCAGTTGTGCTTCAGTAGTGTTGCAGGGTGGGAGTGTTGTACTGGGGGTAAGGGTAATTTTAAAGCTATGTTTTATCATATTTGTCAAAACTTTGCTGGATGTTTAATATAAAACTCAATTATAATCATTTTTACTATTTTACACTTCAAATGAATAATATAATGAATACTGAAATGTGACTGGATTAACTATTTACTTAATGTGGTGGAATATAGACAAAAACAATTCAAAGGTTTTTGACGATTTCTACACTTGAAAACATTTAAAAACTTCATTTTGGATTTTTATACACTAGCAGTTACTATTTAACATCAGAATTGCACACTCGTGGCAGACATCTGTTAACTGCACCGCCTGAACCTGAACATCAGTGGATGCTTTAACTCATCAGATCAGTTCATTTCACTGAAATCCCTTTTGGCACTGTAATATAACAAGTCCAGGTGTAGACCTAAGACCACGCCATATATCTAAGCTCTTCTGCCAGCGCCAGAACATGGAGACAACTCCTACTCACTGTTCAAGCTTACTATGCCAAGAACAGCATGTATTAAGACTTCTTAATCTTCAGTCACAGACTGCTATTCAACTCTAAAAGGTTATAGATTCTGAAAATGTACTATTTGATTTTGAAAAGGTGTCATTCTTTTACAGCCAAATTGTGCCTTATTTCATTTCACTTTGTGCAATAATTCTTTGCAGCACACTTGAGACACTCAAAACTGTGAGAATCGGAAGCCTGGACTTTTCAACACGTCCTGAACATAGAGGAATCTTGGTAGGCTGACCGGAACAGTGCTCAACTTTCTTTAAGAGGCTATTATGTCTTAAGATCACCCAGTGGTGCTCCACCTACTGGCTGACATGACCCATATACACCACACAGATAAACCTGCTCTCTCCATTTCAGAAAGTAATAAAGCAGTCTAAATGGGGACCACTGTTACTCTGTGATGCACAGCCTCCTTTCTGGCTAATGCAAATGAGCCTTTCAGAGGCCAGTCTAAAGAGCTGCTCCGACTGCCTTCAGAGCAGAAAAAGCCACTGAGGTGATTCGCAAGACTCCATTCCTGCATATTAACTCAAATTAATTGCTCGGCGACTTGCTCATGAATGACATTGCCTTTTCCTTCCACACAGCAAAGTGTCATTGCTCCTTTCTCTCTGAGTGGGCTCCCTACTATAACTAGACAAATGTGCCATCCCCTAAGAGGGAAAATAGCACATTTTTCACTTGTCAGAAACACAAAAGATGAAGGAGTTTGGCATAATTTAAACACTCAAACAAATCTAAGGCCTTTGGGGACTTTTGGAGATGACCTTTAAAATAGCCTTAAATGTGAAGTAATGTTAAGTCGTTTGAATTCATACAGCCAGTGCTGTGGAATCAGCCTTCTTTCTTGAAAGATGTCTGTCAATTCACTAAAACATCACAACCTCAAAGGGTGTGTTGAATCTTTCTTTAAGTCCCTCAAACAAGGCCCACCACTGACTTTTCCAGAATCCTGATTAAAATACATTTCTCTCTGTTCCTGTCTACAAGTTATAGTTCCAAACCAGAGGTTCTCCCCCTCTCTACTCACCCTGAAACACACTGGAGGAGGGGGATTACTGCATGCTGGAAAACCACTTGATCCACATTGCAGTCTAATGTAATTCCATCCTAACTGTTTAAAAGTCAAGTGGATATGCATCTGTGTGAATACTGAAATTAATTCTTACTACCTAGTTATAACGGTTAGGTTCTTTTGCACCTAAAGACACAGATTCTCTTTTTTTCAGATAAATATAAAGTGCAATAGCTTATTTATAGATTGAGGTCTTGGCTCAGTGACTTTTAGTCTAATGAATGTGAGGGACACTTGTATTTGCTTCTAGTCGCATGCACCCGATCATTAATTAATTTCATTTGATTAATCATTTAGCCTAAACAAAGGCATTCTCATTAGTCATTTAGCTGTGGCTTCATTGTGCCATGCTACCTTTTGCTCAGATGTGTTTCTCAATTTACGTTTGTTGTTTGCAAGATCGCATTAAAGATTGAAAAAAAATCGGACAAAAAATGTAAACATGTAGTCTATTTCTAATTGTATTAGAATAATTGTTATTATCCCTAAATAAACCAAAAAACAACTTTGTAAACATGCAAGAGCTTTTTCTGAACTCAATCTTTCTGAGTAACATCATGCAGAGTGAAATGATGTGAATACATGCAAACGTTTGCAAAGTTAGCAGCTCAGCTCAGACCTTCACACTGCTTTTTTTTTTTCTTTCACACATACAGCCAGTTGCCACTATGTTTTAGCTTATAATGACAATGTGATATATTTGTACTGAGAGACAGTACAAATATATCACATTTTTTTTAATTCGTCCGAGATTCCCCAAAGAGAAGCAGGAAAAAAATAAATAATTGAGGCTTGTATTTATAAGACGTATATGAATGTAGTATGGAATTAATCTTTTATTTAATGTTCTTAATGTAATTAATGTTTTGCTCTTATTAAGTATAAAGGAATTCTTCAAAACTAATTTGTAAAGATAATCATTCATAATACATTTTCCTCTAACTTTAAATCACCTAAATGCATGTATATGTCTGAAGTCCACTTATAACATTTCTGTCTATGTAACCAAAATATTCGTAATTCATTTTAACGGGACATTCATTTTAACATCAGTGAGAATGGGCAACGCTAAGGTGACCTAGACTAAATAGATGTATATGTGTATATGTTTTGCTTTGCATGACATCATAAAACATGAATTCCAAACTGTTTTTATGGCTTAGTTTCCAGGTATGGATGGGGGGAGTTAATGGTATGTTTTTAAACTTTAACAACATTTACAGACTACATAAAACTCTCTTATTTCAATAAGGAACAGTCTGTGTTCCATGATATAGATGCTTTATTACCGAGATACTGTAAAACTGTGATATTTTTGGACAAAGTTATCATATCATGAAACCATCAAACCATGACAACCCTACTTTGAAAGGACAACTTCAAACTCTTTTCTTTATTATCTATTTAAGGCATATAATCTCTAAGTCTTAGCTAAAGCTAACATCAGGACTGGTTTGAAGGACAGACTCTCTGTGGACGTAGAGGCAGGACTTTTAGCTGACAGCATTCAGAGCGGGAGCTGACTGAACATGATGGAAGCCACCAGCCCCAATCAGATCCACTTTTCAATTCCAAAGATAATATTTTCTGTCACCAGACGTCCTCGTGGAACTCAGGGCATCTGGTCACAGGACTACTGTGAACTGAACATCCTATTTACTGTGGTATCCGTGGACAGGACAATGGTGGCTTATTTGACCACGTTTAGTGGTATCACTGGAGGAATGTAAGGTTTGGGACTGACTTACTGTGCAGAGATCTTTATACTGCATCTTCTGGAACTTGGTGTCAGCATTACCAGCACACAGCTCCACATAGCCCAGTACTACCTGGAACACGGTGTTGTGAATGGCCTGGGTGAAGTGCATGTGAAGCTGATCCATAGCAGTCTAAGAAATGAAAGGAGAGGAGAGAGAGAGAGAGAGAGAGAGAGAGGCGGCAAGAGAAGACAGAGGCATTTAGTTCTTGTTCCATCTGATAAATTTTCTGCTGTGTAAAAAAGGAAGCATTTGTTAAACTGAAGGACTACTGAAGTTTTGCACATGTTAACCAACACATTACTGAACTCAGCGTTTTGTTCAGTTAATATTATCAGCTGTTGTAAGTTCTCCTGGGTATATTCTGCTCCACCGCAACAATGCAAGAAAACATCTCTGACAGTCAATCTCTCGCCCACTCTCTCTCACACAGACATTCCTAATAAAACCATGTCTCAGAATGAACACAGCCTTCTTATCACGTCAGAGCTCAGCTTCAGGCAATGCAAGAATCCCACCAAATCTCCACAACCAGAACCAAACAGAGGCACAACTAGAACCTCACAAACATGCAAACATGAAATTTCCCCAAAGTCAAACCCATGCTCACATTTCATAAAGCTAGGCTGCTACAGGTGGCAGTCTAACAGAGGCTGAAAAACTGAAAGCGATGGTTTTTCATGCTCTCTGAGGAGGGAAGTGACCCATGCTGGGCTTCCTGCTGGCCTGCTCGCAGGGTGCCACTGCAGGTAGAGTCTGGCTCAACCCACACGCTCCAAGGAGATGAGTCATTAAAGAACAACAGAGTCTAGTGTGCTACGGGCCCAACGGGGAGAGCCAGCACTCTCTTACAACTTAATTATATTCCTCTCTCCTAACAAAGCCCTGGAAACACAACCTCCTCCCAGCTTCCTGCCAGATTCAATCAGAAAACAGCTATCAAAAGCTCTGCCTTTCCTTGTAGGTTAGTGCATTCAATTCACAGATGGAGAGAGAATTCTGATTAGTTGAGAAGGAAGAACTGACTTTCTGGATCTGATTAGTGTTTTTATGTCATCCGTTAGGGGCAAAAGATATTCAAACCCAACTGATAACGGCAAATGAAGACACCTGCACCAAGATGCAAAATGGAAATTGGCAGGTGCTTATTAATATACCAAGGCAAAAGGAACAATCCATTAGATATATTAAAATGGCAAGAATAACAAAAACAGTCATCAAAAATGGGAGTACAAAAAGTCTCACTCATTAGGCTAATTGCAAAGTACACTCCACTCTGTCTGAGAGTGGGCATTTTTTTTTTACTGTGGAAGGAAAGAAGGAACTTTTAATGAATTATGTGTTCTGGTTCAGGGTTTATGTCTGATGAGCTTTTAGCTCTGACAGCAGAAGGTAAAGGTGCGTTCTGTAAAACGCTCAGGCACTTATCCAGAAAGCATGAAAGCAAGACAGGGGCTGATGGGTGCATAGGCTCGTGTCAACAACAAACCCCAGCCTAATGTCTTTTCCTGATGAGGACAGCTCAACCCTTGAGGGCTCTTTTCACAAAGGCCATCAAAAACACAGCATGTGCTTAGGCAGCCACTGTCATGTCCTGTGCTTAAGTCTGCATGTCACTTAATAACTGTCAAAGAGTATCTCCACTAGCATCTATCATCTATCATCCAGTGCTTCACCTTGGGGATTCTTGAGGAGAAAGACAGACAAGCAGCAGCATCTCAATGGTCAACAGCCGTGGTTGTAAATCTCTCACCTCACAACCATGTAACAAACGATTCAATACATCATGGAATCTCAACTTTCACCACAATTCAGTTGGGACTGGCCTTAATAAATCAAATACTCGAATATTCATTTGTTACTTTGGTATTTGTTTCCTTGTTTAGCATTCGTTGTAGTCCTGACAGGTTTCAGAGTTAGAGGCTTATATAATCACTGTTTAAAAAAAAAAAAATTACCATAAAGCCAGGAAAAATGGCAACAACCTAACAATAGACATATTAGGCTTTAAAACTCATGTTATACGCAGGTAATCTTAGCTAAAAACTGAACATAGCCATATCGTCTAATACGATATGTCACCCCTTTTCTTTGAAAGACTTAAGATAAAATAACATGACAGTAATAAGACAATAAAAGTAATAAGACAATAAAATGGTGTCAAAACATATTTAAACAAAGAGAATCAGTCAAATACACTAATTTGTTTGAGCTGAAAGACAGAGACAGTAAACCAGCTAAAAGCTAAAGTGACAACAAAAATGCTAAACACAGACTTTTAAAAATGTACACCTTGAACTTCTGCATAATTGCTGCTGTAAAGGTAAGCAAAAGTCCGGCCCGGTCCCATTTCACCCCTTGCCCCTACCACTTAGCCTTTACCCCTCCCGTTTTGCGCGTTCACGTCTAGGTGTAGGGTGTCCTGATTTTTGCTGCGATAGAGGAGAAGGGCGAAGTGTTAGGGCTACATTCCACCTTAAATTCAAACAAGAAGCAAGTTTTTCCGTTCTTTGAAGGCATATGATTCCCTAAACTTAACTAAAGCTCAGCAGTGAGGTTGCTGAACTTTACCCTCCTCTGTTGTCCCTGCAGACCTGCAGGGTCGTCTACAGAGCACCGCTAGTAGCCTGTAATGAAGTAATGTTCCTTTTTATTCAAGGGTTCTCCCATTTTGTAGGGGAAGATTACAACCACTATCCCTTGTAACACAGTTCCAAGGGTCAAGGTGAAAGGGGTCAAAATAAGAAATGGGATTGGGCCAACTTTACATTTGTGTCACTGCATCTTTGGGACATCCATCATGAAAAGGTGTATAAATGCCTACTATGTCACAAGTCAAAAAAAAAATCTGATAAAGAGCCATATTAACCAAATCAACATACCTAAAGTTATGGTTAATTATGTTGTGTAAATATTACAGTTTTTAAGGGTGGTATTGAGGACGAGTATTCGAGTATGTGTTCAGAAACACAAATGAGTATAAGTCTGTAAAACGCTGTTGGGGCCAGTCCTACATTCAAATGCATTTGATTAAACTGAACTTTTAGCAGAGTTAGGAATTCAGAATTTTAAAAATACACTGAAGACACATATGCAACTAGAGGAACACCAAGGCTCAAAAACCAATCAACATGGCCCCCCAGATGGTGCACATTTTTGCTCTATACTATTTCCCAAAACACCTGAATCAAGTCATGAAGACTGAATATTTGTTGCAGTTGTATTGAGAGCTGGGTTAGGCCAAAAAAGTAGACCACTGGGGGGAGGACCTGAGGACTACTTTGAGAATCCCTGACCAAGGAGGTGTTCAGACGAAGCCTTTTAAAATTTTCTCAAGCACGCTTCTTTTCATCACTGTCTTTGGAGCAATGCACACAGTGTCTGAAAAGCACTCCTCCAGTCCACAAAACTTCAAGTTTTTAATTTAAGTAGAAAAACTTTCAACTTTCTGGCTAAACGCCATGGAGGAGCACCATATGTCATCCACAGCTGATCAATCAAGATCAAGGACAGCTTCTCTCAAGTCACTCAGCTAACAAGTAGGAAAGTTTTGGCGGTTTCAAATGCCCAGAGCTGTACAACACTCACCACAAAGACTATCACAGTCTGAACTGGACAATATTTTTCATTATTGCAATAGATGTTATTATCGTGATACACAATAAACCTTTCTGAGCTTATCGTGGGTATTGTCTATATGTAAAACATCGACCAACTGCTAAGAGACTAACTGTTAAAAAATAGAACATAATTAGTCCTGTTTGACTGAATTTAGTGCAGTGCAGTGTATGAAATGCTGAAATAAAACCATTTCACCCAAAGTTTGTGATGGCTGTTTTAAAATACGGTGCTAGTGCACTGTGTCTCTGTGTTAAAATATCAAGTACCGTATATTGTGAAAATGTCTAAGTATTGTGATATAATAGTTTTGCTGTATCGTCCACCCCACTCTGAATGTCAAAACAGTTTTCTATTGAGTACATGTTCATTTTGTTTTTTTTGCTTATTTGGGCCTTCAGCGTTCTCTCAAATCAATGTTGTGTTTACCACTTGTCAATCAAATGTGTAAACTCACCCCCTAAGATGCAAGATGTGTTTCTTTTTAAGCCAAAGACATGACACACTTTGTTTTTAAAACAGCGTAGTCTGAATGTCTGAAAAAAGTCCCCAAAATATAAGTGCATACTTTATTGAATATTATTATTACCATTCTATTCTATCTCTATTCCACTTTTACAGCCCTATCAACAGCTCAAATCAGAACCTCCAGAGACTCATGGTCAGGTCAGGATGAACAGCACTGGACAAGCTCTGATGACAGCAGATAGCAGGGGACCATGAGTCAAAAAAGTGACAGCACTACAGCACTTTCTCCAGCTCCCAGCTTGGCTGTACATGGAAATGAGATGATCTATGGGTGCTACTATTTGCAGAATGCAGATGAGTGCACAGGCAAGTAATGTGGGAGTGAATTAATTTGCCTGGAGTGATTCAGGAAAAGTCATAAAATGTCTCAACATACACCTGCACAAAACTTCCATAAAAAACATTACTTTATAATAAGGAATAGTCAGAATCATATCAGTATCTGCAGATACTTGCTTAAAAAATTATCAGCATGAGACAAAATGTTTAGAGTTAACTGATAATTCAAACCGATATTTGATGACATGACTTGATCTGATGTGCTCTGAAAGAACAGAACATTTAGGTACTACTGGGCTACTTTGCTAAAATACTTTCAGTTTATTCATTTTACTGTATTTGTAACCTTATAGAAAAACATTTTAGATTTATTAATAATGCTAATCCAGACATATGTCCAATTTCTGCATTTTCTAATCTTTCATATGTAAATGAAAAAAAAACAAATCGCAATGGTGAGATCGCAATCATCCCACAATTCATACTCAAGTCTATAAGCAGCACAAATATTTTATAAAATGCAATTTTTGGTAAGAGCGATGCACAGAAGAAAAATGCTTTCACACCAGTGGAGGAGCCTTGAATGTCCTCCTACCCTGTTTGCGTCTTCTCTTATGAAGGCTGTCACAGATTGATTCCCGAAACGTCTGTAGGTTAAATCCTTAGGCTCAATGGCAAGACCACTGCAGGGGATGGTGGTACAGGCTAACTGCACACAGCCCTATTCATGCATTGCTTAACTGGTTCTGGGGCGGGAGAGTGGAGGTCTGTGATGAGTGAGCCTTAGACTGGGATTTAGACTCCAATCCCAGCTTTGTACTACTCTGGGGAAGGAGGTGAAAAACGGCGTTTTCCTTGCCGACTGATAACGTTATGCCAACGAATGACTCATCTCACCAGACTGACATGGTGTGCACCTTTTTATGTATTTTTCCTTTTTGTGGGTATGGGGAGTTGTTGGGATGAACACTGGATGGGTTTGATGACTCACTCACCTGCGTCTTGCCCAGAAGGGAGTAAGCCAGCTGAACTTTGGTGTAGTGCGAGACGTCAAAGTGCTTGCAGGTTTTGGACAAAGCCACATCCAGCTGCTCCTGCGCAGTCGAGGAAAGAAACAGAGGGAGGTGAGGGGAGAAAATCACAGCCTGAACTGCGGGTTTTATGGGCAAGAGTGAAAAGACAAAACACTTTGCGTTAAAAGTTGATCTCCCAAAGAGCTGTAAAAGCCCAGAAAGCAAAAAAAAAAATCTGTCAGATACAGAATTCAGGAATGGGAACAGGAACAGGATTCCAAGCTGACATTGTCAAAAAAATAGTTTAGGGAGTCATCACTTCAAAAACAGGTCTTATTTATAGGGCAGGGTTGTATAAGTAAGTTATTCGTTGGCTCAGAGATTTAAAATCCTGCTCATAAAAGGTTTGTAATTAGTGGCTTGTCTTGTATTTTAACACATGGTGTCAAAGTAACATCATAAATTAATACTCTCTAATACGTCTTAACGACGTTATCGCAGTTTGACCCTTCGAATCATCTTTAGGTTCAGCTGAAGCCCAGCTGCTCATGCACCGTTGCTGCGACTGCAACTATAACCCTCTCATCCAAACACAGCTTCTTCCACTGAGGCTCTCTTGATCAAAGTTATTTCCAGCTACTGCTGTGGTCAATTTATGTCAATATATGAAAACTTCCAAAGCAGCATTGAGTTTCTGAATCTTACAAGGCTACATATTTAGGGACAATAAATAATGCACTGAAAATGACAGCATGCAAATTCCTTAATCTAGTTAAAGGAGATCAACTTCTATTTATAAAAACTCACATATGACTAAAATAGAATAATTGTGCATCAGTTTTGTGGCAGTGTTCAAATTTGTTTTATTTTGCTTGTCGAATAAGGTCAGATGACATGCTTATCACTGCAGCATATATGACTAGAAAATGCACTTCTAATGTTACATATGACAGGGTGACTGAGTGAGAGTGCGACACTGCGAGAGAGAGCCTTACACACACGGCTGGGCTTAATTTTATTTCATTTCTCCCAGGACCCTCCTTACACATTCACACACGTCACAGACAGATGGCACTGCTGGGGAAATGTGTGTATGTGTGTGTGTTTGTACATGTTGTAGAGTGTGAGCTCTCATATGCTTCAACACAGTCACGCACTCCTCAGAGACAGCAGTTTATTTGGGGAAAATGGTCCATCTGCCTCCGAGCTGCAGAGACGCAATTCTGGCGCACACACACCCTGAGCGTCATTCTGAGACCCATAATGCAAGTTTAATATGTACTTTCCAGTCTCTGCATTACGCTCATTTTGAAGATATAAATGATGCTAAGTACTAGGACTAAACACTAAGTGAACTGATCAGTCAGTGTTCTTTATCGATTAAAATCAGTTAGCTAAATGTATAAATATATGAATTGTACTTACATTAATAATTATTATTTGCTCATTTTTACAATTACAATGCAGTGTGAAAACACAACATTTGCAGCAAACTCTTATAAAAATGTTAATACACTGTAAATATATATTAATCTTAATAAATAGAAAGAAATCAAAAAAGTAGTTGTGGCATCTGCAGTAGTACGGACATCATTCCAGTCTAAGAACTTCATTCATTAGGCCTTAATTGACTCACTGGTTCTCTGATTCTTCTAACACTCAACAACCATGGGCTCTTCTAAGCAGCTGGCTGAGGATCTGAAAACTGATTTAAGTAACTGTGCATTAAAACTTGCAGAAAAGTGCTGCAGAGGTTGTAGTTACTTCCTTTACTTCAAAAATCAATATAATATGTCATTTGACCAAAGATGCATAAACGTTGGCATACAACTGTAAGTATTTCTGCAAAAGAATGTTTGGACCATGTAACTAGTGAGTCTTCATGCAAGTTTATGAATCGTTTTACTGAACATATTGGTCATGTGGATCCGGTGTGCAGTGTGCTGGGTACTAAAGAGCAAGGCAGATGCAACATGTTTACTAAAAAAATTATCTGTGTAAGCACACTTCAAAATATATAACCATGGTTAAAAAAATGGAAATGTAAACTCTGCAAATGATGTTTTAGTTAATAATTGATGATGCAGTCCATGCTTAGTTTTCCCTCTTAATTAATCAATCAATAGGTAGGCTACAGCATAAGTTACCAAAAATGTATTTCAGCAATTAAATGATTGATAAATCTGAAAAACTATTAAAAAGCACATACATACATACATACATACATACATACATACATATATCACAAATAGCTAATTCATCTTTGCGTATTTATTGGTATGGGCAGATACATTTAGCCGAAATTCAGGCTTTTTTGGTTGGCCAAGAAAAATTCTTAGTGGCACTGAGACATCCTTAGTGACTAGAACATTGAATAGGTGTCAAGAACCTACAATAGTAAAGGGTTGCTTAAAGAAAGCTCAAAACACAAAAAGCTTGCTACATACCTCAATTTGTTCCAGGGTGTCTTGCAGCTTCGAGTTCAATTCACTGGTGAAAGAAGACATTTCAAAGTCAGTTCAGTCATGAAAACAGTACCAAACCTTGCTCCAAAGCCTGTCGGAGACCTAAACATTCCAAATAACATGCTATTGTGTACCAGAGGGACATGCAGCAGTGTTGTTTGCCTCATTGTGAGGCAAAAAATAGATACACTACTGTTCTGAGGATATTTAAACAAGCACACTGCAGCAACATGTTTCAGGATGAAAAGCTTTTCTGCTCACATGAATAGTCACAATGGTAAACATTACGACAGTGACATTTGCAGTCCAGAGGCACTGTGCTGTTCCTGGCCACACACAGCCCACTTGTGTGAGCACAGTGGACGTATGCTGGAAGCCCACTTAGCCTCCTTTCAGATGTCTACTCCAATAAAAATGAACTACTCTCTTAAAAGAGAGAATGCTTACAGGCAACATTTGGGCAACAAACAACCTTGCACGTATTCAACAAAGCACCAAGCTCCAATAAATATTATGCTGCTGGCCAAGTGTCATTGTGAAATCAGCAGTTAAGAACAAGTGTTCAATTTTGTAAATAAACTCATTTTGACAAAAGAAGCATTTCACACTCTGAGCTGGCCTTGTTTGGAGATTTGACAATGAATAAAATTTCAATCAAAAGAGCTTCACCCCGAGAGAGGAGGGAGAGAGGAGATTCCTTGGCCTCACATCTGAGGGAGGTGAGTCCTCAGCTTCACTCCTGAGATAAGAGCAATAAGGAGCCTCCTCAGCCTCATTTCTGAGAAAAGAGCAAGGAAAGAGCCTTGCCAGCCACATTCCTGAGAGAGGAGTCAATGAGGAATCTCCACATCCTCATTCTCATTCTCAAGAGAGGAGCAAGAGAACAGCTTCCACAGCCTCACTGCTGAGAGGAGCAAGAGAGGAGAATTTTCAGCCTCACTCTCATAAGAGGAGACTCCTCAGCCTCGAACTAGACAGCCTCTTCAGCTTGACTCCTGAGAGAGGAGGGAAAGAGGAGCCTCTTCTGCCTCATTCTTCACAGAGCAGCAAGAGACAAGCCTCCTCAACCTCACTGCTGAGAGAGGAGCAAATGAAGGGCCTTCTCAGCCTCATTCCTGAGTGAGACGCCTCCTCATCCTCACTCCTGAGAGAGTAATGAGAGAGGATTGTAATCTATCCTAAGACTTCTTCTCTCAATTGGCGCTGCACTGTTAGTGTACCATCTGTAACGTATCATCTGAAAGCGCCATGACTCTAAGCTGCAGCATAAACATTCACAAACACCCAGTAACACTGAGAAGTAAGAGAGCAGTACGCCATGACCTTTATGTTAATAATATCATGTTTACAGAGAGACAATTGAATCCTAGTGTTTTCTGAGACATCTGGGGCCGGAGATCTGGGGCCGGATTCAGGAAGCTTTCCAATGAACAAACCTGGTGAATACTCTCTTTAGAAAGTCTTAATCTCATCAATTTAGCAGTTTCATCAACTGCAGACCCATCACCTGAAACAAAAACCTGAGACCCAGGCAAATGCCACTTTTTTCACATATCCAAAAACCACTTCTTTCACATATCCAATCAGAATTTAGTAGGAGCAGAAGTTGTTTCACTTGTTTGTAGGGGTGTAATGATACACTGACCCCACGAATTGATTCGGTTCACAAAATTGGGTCCAAGATTTGGTATTTTCATGTTATTCCTAACATGATTCAAATAAAAAAAAAATGATGACTATACTGAAGGTCACCATTTATGAAATGATGATGCACAGCTTACAAATGACACTAAAGGTGTGAGGCAGGAGCGAGTTGCTAATTGGTGCTGATCGTTTGCAAACAATGTTCAAACAATGCCGCTGCATTAGATGACAATTATTAATATGTTCATTATCCACGATGAATTGTCACAATGCATACAGTCACAGTGTTGCTTGTAATATAATGATTTCACAATGCACTGTTATACTCTTACTTGTTTGCTTAAGCTTATATTCATGCAGTCGTTTTCAATCATAATCTTAGCCCAGTTATAATCACCATTTTGTGTTTGTTGCAGTTTGGAGATTTTAGTAAGCTTTTTATAAAAGCACTGGCTGGACTGCTTTTTGAAGTCATATAAAAAAAGAAGATTTCTCTAAGAAAGGCGCACACTGTAACCACAACAACGCTGCGATCACTGAGCACATCATTCTGCACTTTTCTGAATAGTCAAAATTTTTTGAAAGGGTGCCACTGTAATGACAAAAAGGAAAAAAAAGAACATAAATGGGAGGCAGAGTTCCTCTAACCATCAGGCTGCTTCCCATTGGATTAAAAGTGAAGGCTGCACGGAGGAAAAACGTAGCAAAAAAGCCTCAGCCTTATTTAGGTTAATATTAGGTAGACACAAGCAAGACAATCTCAAACATTACAGTTCTACTGGAAGCTTTGCTTTTGAAACAATTCTGAATCCAGGTTCTCTGCAGCATCAAGTACTGGATTCAGTCTAGAGTGCATGTTCCACTTATTGCCATTTGTTAAAATCAAGAAATATTTAATTATTTGCAAGTGCTCAGCTATGAGATTTGCCATGTAAGAGTACTGTTTTATTTTCATGTAAAATAATTTAAAACTGTTAAAATGTAATTGTAATGCAATTTTGTTTATGGAAAATGTATATCTCAAGTGGCCAACATTATATGCCAACCACTTTTGGATGGGCCCAGAAATATAAGTGAGCAGGCATGGACCCCTCAGGCCCAACCACAGTGACAGGCCTGACTTACCATTTGAAATTACAGTTTAAGAAGCATCTCTCGCTTCCTCTTTCAGTTAAGTCAAGCATGAAGTTACTGTAACATTTTTTTAGCAATAGCACTTGGTCTTGAAATTGTTCTTAAGAGGAAAAAAAAACAAAAAAACTCTGAAGCTTTATGAAAAATAATAATGTATCTAATCTTTTTTTTACTGTCTGGAGTTATGAAAAAAAAGCACATTTAAGATTTTTCTTCTTAAGGCACTTTTGTGAATTCGGTCCCTAATGCCTGCTTCCCTCCCATCATAACACAACCTGAAGCACTAAACTTTGTCTCTTTCCCCTGAAAAACAGAAAAATCTCTCAAGGTGGAAGCCCACCATCACTATAAGCTGAATGGTTACTTCAACTCGACTTCCGTCAGGAGTGCTCAGGGCTCCACCCAAGCCTTTTGGGAGGTGACACGTAAATCATGTTTTAATGAGATTTCACAACAGGTTCCCCCAACACTAAGCTCAAACACAGTTTCATTATTCTTGTGCCCACAGCCATGCAAACAGAATAAAAAGAATAACCAAAAAAGGCAACGAGTGTTTTTCTTTCATCACAACAGATGTCTAAAAAAAAAAATCACTGTGATTTGCTCCTGTTTTAATCTGCTATTTTGATTCAGTGATACGGTATCATGACTGAATGAAAGGCATTACACAGGTGTGAAATATGTGTGGCTTTTTAGGGTATTGGGCAGCAAAGCCGCTGAGCTGGCCCTTCTCCCAGCTTAGGTCACTCGGTAATTAACTCCTCTGTCCTGCACCTGAATGCACAGATAACCCAACTCTCCATTACTGCCACAGATGAGAGTTGAAAGATAGAGCGACTCACTTAAAAGCTGAAAAGGAAGCAATTACAAAAAAGAAGAAAAGCCCTGATATTCAAAACAGGTTTATCTCAGAGCCCAGACCTCTGCAAATAAAACTAGCAGTGAAGAGGGAGCCTCCAGTCTAAATCAACATGAGAATAGAAAATAATGACTCTTCAGGTGAGTGTGCCGAGGCTAGAGGCAGAATAAAAGCTGAAGCATATTTGAAAAATACAGTGGATACTTGATTTTTGATATCAAACCATTTTTGAAAACAGGAGCTGGGCTAAAAGTTACCCTGATCTTGCTACATATAGACCTGTTAAAAAATGATAGTAAGGGACTGTTTTTAGACATGAGGAGCTTGCCCACCTCCTGACGGTTGTTTAGTATTTTTACAAGCAGAACTATTCTCAGGCAGAACACTGCCATGAGCATTCCAGCAGTCATTTCACACACACTCGGCATTACTGGCAGCACTCTGATGTGAGGGGAACAGCCAGAAGCAGATGCTGAAGACTCCCCACTAACGGTCAGGGCCATGTGCCAGTGTGCCAATTCTGTACAATCTCTGCATTTTTACAGTTTTTGTAGTTTTCAACCACAGCTATGAGGACGATGTGTTAAGTGGGTGACGTTACAACAAACAATACCTACAGTAAAATCTGCAAAAGCAATAGCACAGCTAAATCATGTAATTTTTCCTTACTATAATTGTAGTTGGTCAGTCTAGACGCATTTGATGTCTAAAGTTTGTTTCTTTATATTTGCACTGGAGTCATATTTACTAACAATTAGGCCGTCTCAATTATTACACAATCGCCTAAATGCAATATTATAATAATTTTAATTTATTATTAATAAGGCAAATGCATGTAATAAAAGACAGCAGAAAATGCACGCAATGAGCTCAGGGCTGTCAGAAACATGGTGGCAAGTGGGCATTTGACCCACAACCCACCGCTTTTTGATTGAGTTCGGATCACTTACAACGCACAAAAACCCCACTACTCTTAAACTGCAAAAAGAGCCAACATATAGACAAACAGTCAAACTCAGTGTCAGAACCAATTAAAATGCCATTTCGGCTGGGAGACCAGACACTTCCCTAACAGGCTTCATGACTTCACACTTATTGAGAGGAGCTGCAGCTCACTAATCCAGTAAAACGTTTTTTACTGCCATAAATGAACTAATGCACCTAGCAACAATTTCTGTCACTACACTATGTGAATTTACTAAATGTCTGTCTGAATGTTTCTCGCTGCTACTACGCTAAACTAAGGTCGCTTTCACATCGTTTATAAGGATCATTTTTTTTTGTTTGATCCATTTTGATGTGTGAACACTCCATCCGTATTCAGGTCTGGCAAAAATCGCAGGTCTTGGTCTACTACTCTACTACTTACAGTTCACTGCTAGTGGAAA